AATCTCGGCCCGGAGATCGGCTATCCTAACTCAGATTATCTTGTTTGTTTTTTTGCGAATTCCAGATTGCAGCTATGTTAGACCTGTAGCAGATCATTCCACATCGTTCACTAGTCATCCTATGACCCGATACTATGTAGTTCGTGCTACTGACAGTGTCGTTAAATAAATCAGAAATAAACATTGGTCATTTAATGATAGTGGTGTAACCTCTCAGAATTTAGACGGGCAATGAGGTGAGTGTGAGAGCGGCACAAAGAGTGGCCTATCTGACGATACTTGCAGCTGCTGAATTTAAATAATGAGTACCTGCCGTTGTTTTTCTTCTGGGTTGTAACACCTTGTGGGCGTGTAGGTATATACCAATACTTTGGAGAAATTTACTCCATATCTCCATGTTTACCTCTGAAGATTAAAGCAGTATGTTCCTCCGAAACGTTGACACCTACCCTACAAGTCCATACGGCGATACAACCCAACACTGACATCACTGCCGCCATAACCTCATAATTTATGGTCCTGAGGAAAACCACTAAAACTTGAGTTAGGTTAGCGGGCCGAGACTCTGTTTGGTTATTCTGCGAATAGAGGCGAGGTGAGTTGCTGCTGTGTTTAGAGGGCGCTTTGATAATGTTGCAGGCACTCTCGATCGGATGGGGAACCTCGCATAACCCCTTCTGCAATCCCATCGACTACTCGAACTCAGAAATACCGATACGGGTACGTCTGACCATTCAGTCTTCAGCTGCAATTCCTCACGCCACTCTTTTATGTGAATTGTAAAGTCTGAATCTTTGTGCAGGAGGCGAGGGTGGTGTGGCTGTACTTCATACTGAAGCTCCTTGACCTCTGTGACACGGTAAATCTGCTTTTTATTACTAACAAGACACCCACCAACCGAGGAACAACTTGCAAACATTTTTGAAATTCCCAAAAAGTCCCAAACCGGTTTACTGGCAGTATCAGCGTGGGTCGTTGCACTGTGTAGTCTGGTAGAAGCTCACTGACGTTTCAGAGGTCCTTGCTGCCTCCATCATCAGGGCGATGATATATAAACCTTATTTTGACTCACCGTCCAATTTATATGTCTGCCCTGATCCGTTTCCACGTGAAAATGAATGGACGAAACGTCATTTTGGATCAGTGTTAAGTGTCCCACTGCTAATTATTTTTATCGTATGCGTATCTGATTTGTCTACAGACGTCATCGCCAAAGTTCTGCGAGTTTTTATGTTCTTTGTAGATATTTTTTGTCCTGCGAAAGAAAATGCAGCAGGTCTCCTTCCTTCACGTGTATCACCACGCGGCGATGCTGGTCGGAGCCTGGCTTATTACGAAGTTCTTACCAGGTAATGGTTTAGTGACACAGACCTACATTTAGACCTGTTTAGTGTTGCTAGGCCACGTTGTTATCGGAAGTAGAAACGTGTTCCTGAAGTAAACGTCACCCACAAAACTTTCCCTTTCTTAGGAAAAAAATATCTTGCTTACGTGATCGTTTTGTTTGTTTTTGAGCCTCGATCCACTCGTCAGTACTTCATTCAATCGCCGATAATAATCGAGGTGAGGTGTGAGGTTCTCACGGCGACCAAGATGTCGATCTTGGTTCTGACGCCGTGTAGACTTGTAAGTAGACCCCCTGAGTTTCGGAGAGACGTTTTGCCACCTTCTTCAGGGCTCCACGAAGGCAGAGACTCTATGATCCTCCGTAAACTTTGATAACCACGTGCTAGAAAGCGCGGAGTCAGAACGCAGAAGACCATTCACTTTTCCACCGCTGTGAAGAACACCCTGTTAAAACATGTAAAAGTCATTTTGGTAAGGAATACAGGGTGTTCGTAAATAATGATTAACTTTTCTTCCTTACAAAAAATATGAAAGACAGACGTTCGCTTCGGGGCATTTAAAACGTAAAGAAGCTGTGATAAGATAATTTTAAAATTGAGTCTTGCTCGATTCTTTAAGCCTGTCAGTCATTCTGTTGATGCCCCATCTTAGGCGGCCACGCCACATTCATCGGGGTAGCGAACTGCTTCGTGCACGTGGTCATGTACTCCTACTACTTTGTGACCTCCACGTGGCCCGAGAAGAGGAACGGCCTCTGGTGGAAGAAGCACATAACTCAGCTGCAGATGGTAAAGACGA